CCCTCCCCCCGCCCGCCTCCGCCTCCTGCTGCTCTGCCGCCGCCGCCGCCGCCGCCTGCAGCACTACACTGCCGCTCCCACCCAGGCTCCGCTCGCTGCTCCAGCCAAACTTCTGCAAACCATGTGCAGCCGAGGCGAGGAAACTTCTCTCCACCTATTGGGGCTGCAAGCTTGAGTCACAAGCCCCTTGTTTACATAAAGTGTTTAGGTAGGACAAGTCCTTGAGGTGCTCGGGGTAGGGATGGAGAGCTACCAGCTACTGCTTGACATCGCTTGGCTTAAACCATTCTGTCTTGACTTGAAGTTTGAATCTGAGGGTGTGAACCCTCATTACCTTTCCATCATCAGTGACCATTGAAAGTCACAGTGAAGTAGAGGTGCCTGGGCGTGCTGTGTGCAGAGGTGGATGTCTCCTTACGGACTAGTGGAGAGTGATGAAAGATGCTTTTGTTAGGATTGAACTTGATGGTTATTTCAGTAATTGGGTTTAATTTAAGAAGCTGTGGTCCATGAAACCCCAGAGCATGTGTGTGTTCAAGAACAGTATTTTCTCTTTAAGTTTTGGGCTTTGAGATACTCTTTTAAGAGTGAATGCCAGAGCTGCCATTCTGGTAGATTTAGAGGTATGGGAGATCTTTTCCCACGGAGATCCTGCAGTATGGTAACACGGCAAGGGAGTTAGAATTCCCTGATGGGCATTCTTCACATTTTGAAGTTGACTTTTTTGTTGTTTTCTAGAGTTTATGTCTTGTCTTTGTTAAGTGCAGTTAAGACTTTTGAGTACTGGAGAGTAACAATTTCTGAATTTCACATATGCAGGGTTTTGAAGACCTAATAAAAAGATATAACTTGATTGGTAAGGAAGTGGAGGCATCAATTTCCAGCCTACTCTGGTGTTAAAGCATTACATAGACCAGGTTGCCTGGCACATTGCTTATAAAACAGTGAAAGGAAGCTTACTGTCTTAAAACAATGCAGTATACAGAAGTGTCCTTCCTAAAAGTCTTAGTTTGATTTAGCAATACAGCTATACTTGTGGCTGCTAGAACTAATTTCTCCTCCTTTGAAGACTAAATAAGCAGCTGTGTAAATTTAGTGGTCCAAAAGGGAATAATAGATTGGATATATGCCTGCCTTGAATGTCATTGCCTTTTGATCAGTTAGATAATATGACTTGTTGTATAGTTAAATGCCTCCAAAAGCAGACTGTGACCCTGATCTTAGTGTCATAGTGCACTGTCCAAAGAACATCAAGGTTGGCCTTCATACTGGTAAGCAGGGCTCCTTGGGCTGGCAGAGATCAGGTCTGTTCCATCTGATTAGGAAACTACAGTGAGTGTGATTTCTGGCTAGAGAATCACAGTTCGAGATCTTTAGGTTTTAACTCTTTTGGACTTTGAACACTTTCAAATGTATGGTGCTGATGGCGTGCTCATGTAAAGAGTATACTGACCTAAGAAATGGAAAGAAAACGTGGATAAAGTGAATGCCACAGCTTTAGATTAAAGCCATTGTGTCGAACCTTGCCTGTGTGTCTGAGTAAGTGGCTTGAGTAAGAGTAACCAAGCTTATTCTTTAAGATGGGCGAATGGTTTCCCAGTACAGCTCTCTGTCTAGGTTTGTAGAAGTAAAACTAGGGGTGAACCCTGAAATTGCGG